AAAAAAAAAAAAATGAAAAAATGATAATGATGAATCATTAATGGAAACTTTCTCTAAAGGAATGTTTCTGAATAAACCAATCTGAATAATTGTTAATTCATCTTTATATTAATGACACCTATGATCAATGTTACGTAACAAGTGAATTTTGTTCAAAAATGGATGACCAATGGCTATTGGTCAATATCGTCCTCAAATGAATATCCTTTATTGTATTTATTATTTACTGAGTTTATCCTATGATCCATTGAATTGAGTCGTCTATTTATTTACTGATCATGGCTCGATCGTGAAACAATCGTTATACATTGTTTATTTATTTATTTATTTATCTATTGTTCATTTATCTATTTATTTTTATTATTGTTTATCTGTTTAGAATTAAATCTTCTTCTTCATCATTCACTTCGATTGTAGTACACGTTATTATTTAATCATCTATTTGAAATTTCGTCTTCAATCATCTTGATTTATTGAAAAAATTTTTTTTTGTTATTTGTTCGAACGTGAACCTTATTTGATTATTTACTTGAATTGTCATCATTATCATCAACTGGTTATTTACTTGCACTTTCTAACACATCATTTATTTATTCTTGATTCAGTTCTACATTTACTTAAATTAAAACACTTATATATAAGTCATTATGGACATGGTTATTGTGAACCAAAGATTGAAGGAAATTTATCCTGCATTTGTTATTCCAGAAACAAGTTATGAAGTTATATTTATCAATCGATACATGTCAATGGAAGTTATGGACAAAGTGTTACATCATATTAATGATTGTTATCAATATTCAGTAGATACTGAAAGTGAAAAATCAAACAACGAATTATCCATTATACAAGTTCATACAATTCCTCGTACATTACCATCACAAGTACTTATTATCGAATTATCACATCTGCCAAATCGAGGATCGAACTTGTATGTAAAAATTAAAGAAATTTTTAGATTAATTTTTAGATCACATAATGAAATATATTCATGGGGGGACATGAACCTCGAACTTGAATCAGCAAATTATTTATTCGCATGGCCAATAACATCAGAATTAATTAATCTTCAGCCGCACTTTCCTGGTTGGTATGAGAGGGCTCGGACTCAATGTTGGGTCCAGAGCCTGGAACAACAGGCGATGGAGAATAATGATATTATTGTTGGTCAACGAAATTTGTCAACATCGTCTTGTACATGTCATCGTCCAAGTCCATACAATGAACATCAGCTCTGGTCATTACAAAAAGCATTTTTATATAGTTTTAATTTATTTATAGATAAAACAAGCACCTTGTCACATTGGTCATATGGCCTAACTTCAATTGGTTCATCATTAACATATGCACAGCGTACAAAAATGATAAATTATGCTAAATACGACGTGATGGCGGTAACCTATCTCATCAGACCAATTACTGAACAATGGTCGTTTACAAGAACAAAAGAATCAAACATTGAAGAAATGTTTATTACATTTCAATCAACACGACCACCACCACTACGTCAACTAAAACCAAAAAATAAAAAAAATAAAAAAAGTAAGAACATCAACATTCAACAATTTGCTGCCTTATTTAGCTGTAATGATCCAGAAGCAGAAGAAATTCCATCCGGTGATGAGATATATTTGAATCAATTAATTGAACCAAATGATTATAGAGATGAACAAAATAATAATAATAATAATAAAATTAATTTATTACAAGATCAAATCGAACGAATTGATGCTGATTATATACTAATTATTAATGCTGATGAACCAATTGAACGAATTCAACAACAACAACAACAAGGTGAATTAGTTGCAGAAAATTATTATCAAGAAGGTGAACCAATGGAAGAAGATCATTATCAAGAACATGCATCAGTTATTAATGATGATGAACCATTACAAGTTGTAAATGAACCTGAACAAGTTCAACGTCGACCAAGGCACCGAAGAAGTGCTCAATCAAGAAATCGAAAAAATCGAAAACACAATCAATTCCGCAGGAAATTTCGTTTTCGTTATACAATTAGAAGAAAAGTTTATCATCGCTTTAAACCACATCTAATGCGAAAAATTCTTCGAACGTACCAAATACACTTCACGCATGTCAAGATGGATAAAGATTATTTGGTGATTGGACTGAAGAATCATGAAAGTCGAATTGAAGCTGAACATAATTTAGCTGAAGATATATTCAATAGTCGAAGCTATTTTCATTATAGAAAATTATATAGACATTAGTCTTTTATTGTTAACATTTTTGTTGTTTTTTTTCTTCTTTCTTGTCTTTCATTCGATTTTATATTGTTATATTCTAGTCAGGTTTTTCTTTTTCATGTTGTTGTTACTATTTTTGTTGTTATATTTTCTTATAAAAAAGTATTTTTGTATCCAAAAAACTTTTTTCTTTTGTGGGTAAGGGTGTTATATCCTGCCATCTATATAGTTATATTTCTTTCGCGTGTGTG